AATACAGGCTTTTCACATGTGCCATGTTTGTTGGATTACTGTATAGTGAATGTTAAAGATGCTGCTTACTTAATCAATTTACCCGCCAACACCTGGTCGCCGAGATTCATATGATAATTATTTAATATGGTGACAGCCAAGCAAAGTCAAATGTGTGTTTGGTCATTACAATTACTCAATTAGTCTAAAATGAAATTTTTCAATTATGCATGATACATGTACAGAAGAATAGAAGTAAGGTCGACTGAACTGAACTTTCCAGACTTGTTGTGTTTATTTCGGTGCCTTCAAGCTTTGAAGTTTGAGGGCCTTGTTTACGCGAGTTTTTGGCGGGAACAATAAATAGAATGTACATTAAATCGTGCACACGTGCACATTCCAACAGATGTTTTGAACCACGTGTAGATAAAGAAAATTCACTTTTTCTACAATTAATGTAACCTCAAAACGTTGAACACTTCACAAAAAAACATACACATACATATAATACTCTACAAGAATGTCACACATGGAAAATGCTCAAGAGAACGCGGCAAAATTAAGTGACAAAGTCTGTTGTGAATTAGGGACGGTCGCTTGGAAATTACAGAACTAGGTCATTTCATACGAATTTCATACACATTTCATACCTTAATAGTGGCAAGCAACTGTGTCAAATTGTGAGCCAACAAGTCTGTTGGCTTACTTCGGAACAATAAGTGAAGTTGTCTGCATACCACGCAACTCCAACTGTCCCGCCATTTTGTTGCCTTCTCCAAAATTCACCAGGTCAGGAAATCTGCATTCTCTTCAAAACATCACCATAATGGCAGACATCTGCATAGAAAACTCCTCTAACGCTCTGCTGCACACTTAAGAAGAAATACAACCGGCAAAAACTCAAGAAAGTACCCGAAAAGTGGGGGAAGTAGTAGCCCAGAATATTCCTGTCGTGCGAGAGCACCATTTTGAACGGATCCGGACCAAACGTGTTTTACACAGGTGTGGAAAACAGCCATGTCTAATTAATGTGAAACCGGTAATCTATTTACAAATGGAGCCGCAGGGTGACTTGAGTATTACTGTTATTGACAAACGCTTAACGAATAACCTCTATGTATGAGACCACACGATGAAATATAACACTTTGTCCGATTTTCTTATACCGGGGACTGTGTTTCGCGGCAGAATGAACACCTTCAACGTTAACACACCAAGGACCTGTCCTTGGTGCTGAAAACCATCCACACACGGGAAAGCAAATCCTTATACACTTCTCCCGGTACAAAATAAATCAAAACATTAACAAAAGCTCCACGAAAGGAATGAACACCAGATATTCGAAGACATTTACGGCTGATTAGTTACAAAACTTAAGTGCATGGATCAAAAGCGACCTCTAGCAGTCCAATGCAGGACTACACCATGATGCTGGCTGAGCCGCTCCTATTACTGCAGTGATTGTCTACGGCCGCGTAGGGGCGCTTTTGATCCATGGCGATTTTAACAAGCGTACAGGTGCAAATTAAAAAAAAAATCCTTCATTATGAAATTTACGTGGTAATAAAGGTTGTACAAATGACTTAACAGACTAGCCTCCTTCGCAGACTTGTAGGGCGGCGGCGTTATTTTTTTCGGTGAGCCTCGCGAGTTATACCGTACCGCAGAGGGACGGTTTTGCCGCCGAGGGAGTTTTGCCGGGGAGAAACCGTTCTCTCCTCGGCAAAACTCCCTTGGCGGCGAAACCATCCTTCTGTTGTGATAAAGGGACGTCCCTCTGTTGTGATAAACAACTAATTCGAATGCTTAATGATGATTAACTTGATGACACACACACACAAACCAACTTGAATTTGTGAAGTTCACTCTTTTTATTAAAAAAGAACTTTCCCGCGTGAAGTACGGCTTCGCTGCTCTGATTAGATCTAGGGTGTTTCTTTAAACCCTATTAGAGGCACGCGCCAACTTTAATGTCCTGAACGGCTTGCGCTAGAATCATAAAATTTTGTGACTATAGGTATTCCTAAAATATACCTGACAAAAAGTTCATATCAATTAG